CTGATGCAAAGTGAAATGAGAAGAACCAGGAGAACAATTTATACAATGATGACAATGTTGTAAAGACAAATAGCTTTGAAAAACTTGGAAACTCTTATCAACACAATTCCAGCGGACTCATGATGAACCATGTTGCCTACCTCTAGACAGAAGGGATATATTCTGAGTGCAGAGTGAAGCAGATTTTTTTTAATGTAACTAATGCAAGGATTTGTTTTACTTGACTCTGAATACTCATAATGTGTTTTGTTTACAGCTTACCTTCTCAATGATTTGGGGAGGGTGAAGTGGGAGGAAGATTAATCAGAATTTAAAATGTAATAAAAATTGGCTTTTAAAAAAAGATAAGGCAATTAAAAGTGTTCTTTGTTATGTGGTACAGCTTTCTGGGAGGCAGTAGACAGAAGGATATGAGGAGAAATTTAGGTGATGCAACAACAAAACATATTAATAAAATTATTTTTTTTCTTTAGTAGTATTTTTTCCAATTACATGTAAAGATAGTTTTCAACATTCATTTTTGTAAAATTTTGAATTCCAAATTTTTCTCCCGCCCTTCTTTCTCTACCCCTTCTTCAAAACAGCAAGCAATCCAATACAGGTTATACATGTACAATCATGTTAAACATATTTCCACATTAGTCATGTTGTAAAAGAAGAATCAGAACAAAAGGGAAAAACTACAAGAAAGAAAAAACAAAAAAAAGTGAAAATACTATGCTTCGATTTGCATTCAGGTTCTATAGTTCTTTTCTCCAGATGTGGTTAGCGTTTTCCATCATGAGTCTTTTGGAATTGTCTTGAATCATTGTATTGCTGAGAAGAGCTAATTCAGTCATAGTTGATCATTGCACAATGTTGCTGTGTACAGTGTTCTCCTGGTTTGGCTCACTTCACTCAGCATCAGTTCATGCAAGTCTTTCCAGGTTTTTCTGAAGTCTCCCTGCTTATTATTTCTTATGGAACAGTAATATTCCATTACATTCATATAACAACTTGTTCAACCATTCTCCAATTGATGGGCATCCCCTCAATTTCCAATTCTTTGCCACCACAAAAAGAGCTGCTGTAAATATTTTTGTACATGTGGGCCCTTTTCCCGTTTTTATGATGTCTTTAAATTTGTTTTTAAAAACAAAATAATGTTGCAAACTTGTAATTACCAAACTTGGCTCCGACAAGACATATGCAAAGAAACCTCCTCCTACCTCTTTACAGAGGAGGTCCATAGTGGAGGCACATTGCACATAACACCAGAGTTTTTTGATATGTTTATTGGTTTTTCAGATTTTTTTCTCTCCCTTTTAAAAATCCTTTATTATAAGGGATGGCTTTTTCGAAGGGAACAGGAAGGGATACAGGGGGGAATATGTATGATATAAAATCAAAAGTTATCAGGATAATCTTTTTTAAAAAAGATTTTGAATTTGTATTGACCTATTTGGCAGAGTTGTGTGACTTTTTCCAACTGGACAAAATTTTAGTTTAGTTTAGGAGGAGTAGGAATGAAGAAGCCCAATAGTGGGAATCAACTAGGGCTAAGGATTAATGGAGCACAGAGAGAGACAAGGATGAGGGAGGAATGGATTCCAAGGAGGGGGTTAATATACAATTAAAAAACATTTTTTTTGATGAGGCAATGGGATTAAATGACTTGCCCAGGGCCACACAGCTAATAAGTGTTATGCGTCTGAGGTCAGATTTGAACTCAAGTCTTCTAACTCCAAGGCCAGAGCTCTATCCACTGTGCCACCTAGTTGCCCTGGATAATATACAATTGAACTGGTGGATTCTAGGGTCATATTACGTTTGGATGAAAGTGAGGCCAGAGCAGGGGTGATTGACTGGGATAACAGGGAATGGTGGAACAATTGGAGATCATGATAAAGATAAAGAATAGGGTTAGGAGGAAGGAGGCACAGAGACACAGAGAAAGAGCAGGAAATTAGAGGGGGAGGGAGAAAATATTTAAATAGCACCTACTGTGTGCCAGGCAGTGTCACTTCCCCAATATTATGTTGTTTGATCCTCACAACAGCCCTGTGAGGTAGGTACTGTTATTTCCCTACTTTACAGTTGAGGAAACTGAGACAAATAGAGGTTTCTAAGTGATTTGTCTGGTAAGTGTCTGAAGTCAAATTTGAACTCAGGTTTTCCTGATTTCAGGACCAGAGCTCTATCCACTATGCCACCTAGTTGCCTAGATTATTATCAGAGAGGACTTTCTGAGCTCTACATCATACAGTGTTTGTGTGACGTGAAATCCAAGGCATATCTCTCCCTGTGGGTGGTTGAGGTGGAATGAAGATTTACATCATGATACCCAGAAAAGCAAAGGCCATTCTAGGGTTCATTAAGAAAAGCACAGTGGCGCTGCTAGGTGGCGCAGTGGATAGAGCACTGGCCCTGGAGTCAGGAGGACCTGAGTTCAAATGCGGCCTCAGACACATGATACTCGCTAGCTAGCTGTGTGACCCTGGGCAAGTCACTTAACCCCAAATGCCTCGCCAACAAAACAAAACAAAACAAAAAAAAGAAAGAAAAGCACAGTGCCCAGGGAGAGGCAGGTGACTGTCCCACTGACCTCTGTCCTAAGCAGACCACAACTAGAATATTGTGGTAGGTGAAGGGCATCATGTTTTAGGAAGGACAATAACAAGTTGGAGTTTGTCTAGAAGGGAGGTGACCCAGGATGGTTAGTGACCTCAAAAACTATATGAGATCAATTGAAGGAACTGAGGTCAGTTAGCCTAGAGAAGAGATTTGGAACAGAGAGGCAAAATAGCAGTCAAGGTGCTGTCTGGGGCTGCAGTGGATGACTCGGGGGTCTTAGATGTCTGGCCAAGCTCTAAGCACTCCACAGCTAAATCTGGTTAAGGGTAACCAACTGGCCTCAAACCCATCGGTGAGTTAGGGGGATATCTACCCCAAGTATGCCAAGACTTCCTCTGATGGAATGGGTGGATGAGGACAATTTGTTCCAATGGCTATAAAGGTGGCTGAAGCAGGTGCTATGGAGTACTTCGGGTTTTGTTAGAACCTTTAGCTTCCTAAGCTCAGCTCAGGTTCTGTCTTCTAAATAAAAGCCTTTCCAGACCCTTTGCCTGTTCTGGCCCCCTCCCACTTCAAATTAACTGGCAGTTACTTATCTTTGGGAACGTGTGCTCCTAGTCAATTGTCCGCTTCTTGCAGGCATGGATTCTTTTGTTTCAGTGCCTCACCAGTTCCTTGTTCATAGAAAGCGTTTTAATAAATGCTTGTTAAATTGAAATGAAAAGACTTAGGAATCAAAATAGGCAGAGAATTTGTTCATTGACTCAAATTAAATAAAATATTGATTTGGATGTTATTTGACTGTTCTGGTTTTGTTTTGTTTTTCGCCAGGCAATGGGGTAAAGTGACTTGCCCAGGGTCACACAGCTAGTAAGTGTTATGTGTCTGAGGCCATATTTGAACTCAGGTCCTCCTTGAATACAGGGCCAGTGCTCTATCCACTGTGCCGCCTAGCTGCCCAGCTGTTCTGATTTTGTCCAATATTCTTAAAAGTAGGTAGGCTTAAGGGGGATGGTTTGTGTTTTTATAAAGCTTGGTTTGGTTTGGTCTACAGTCAAATCAGTAAAAGATAAATGGCTTGTGTGAAGTCAGTTGGTTCATTTATGTAACAAATATCCGTATGGCATTTTGCTGGGGGTGGGTGGGGTGGGGTGTTAATCTGGAGACAGGTACAACCTAGGTGGGCAGTTAGGTAGAGAAGTGGATAGAGTGCCAGGCCTGGAATCAGGAGGATTCCTCTTCCTGAGTTCGTATCTGGCCTCAGACACTTAATTAGCTGTGTGATCCTGGGCAAATCACTTCACCCTGTTTGCCTCAGTTTCTTCATCTGTAAAATGAGCTGGAGAAGGAAATGATAAACCTCTCCTTTATCTTTGCCAAGAAAACCCCAGCGGGACAGGACTGAACAACACCCTAGGTGCGATCAGATACCTACAAAAGACCAAGCCCACCTTTGTTAAGTTCACTAAGAGAGGTAAAAAGTCTTCTTGAGAAAAGGTAGCTTTGAAGGATTTCAACCAATGGATACCAACGGGGTGAACACCAGCATGTAGATTAGTCTAGTTCGCCCTTGGGGAGGGCAGGACGGGACACTTTTGGTCCTCGCCTGGGGACCTCCGTCTATAGGTCAGCAGCTCTTTGCTGCAGCCGGGGTTCCTTGACTGGTCCAGAGTCACACATCCAGAGTCAGAGGTGGGGACCCGGGCTTCTAGCTGCCCAGGCCAGTGCCATCCCCGGGCACTTCTCTTTCTCTGTGGCTGGTCAGGCTGTCGAGGAGCTCGGACTTTAGAGGGGTGGTCAAGGGAATGTAGTGGCCCTGGTGGGTCTGGTTCACCCCGCCCCCTCCCCCCTACACACAAACGCGTTCATCATCCAGTGACCTTGGGTGATGAAGAAGGGGCTGGAGACGGAGGGGCTGTGGGTACTGGTGTCTCCCTCACACCTGGCACTGTCTGGTTACAGACCGCCTAACCCACCGCCGCCCCTTCAACCCCCGAGGGAGCAGCTGCCAAAGGCCTTTGTTAAGACTCTTCCCGGAGGCCCGGGGCGGGCGCTGGGCGATGCCCGGATGGGCCTGGCCCAGGGCCGGCCTCGGCTCGGCGCTCCAGGCGGGTCTAGGAGGCTGGGGCCCCGCGAGCGCGTAAAGGCAGCCTAGTCCTCCTTTGTCTGCGGGGTGGGTACCACAGACCGTCTCCATCCCGTTCGAGGGTTTTGGCTGCTCCCGACGCCCCCTGGTGACTAAACTACAGACAACCGAAATCGGTGGCAATTAGCGGGCAGGCGGCGCGACCCGGAGCCTGCGAGGGGCCGAGCTCCGAGGCGAGGGGGGTATCGGGGGCCCCGGGCTGCGCGCCGCACAGCCGCCTCTGCCGAGCGCACGGGAGGCTCCTGGGCGTGTGGGCGCACGGCGGCCGCGGCGGCGGCGGGGGATGCGCGAAGGATGGTGAAAACGAAGGGCGCCGCTGGAGCGGCCGCGAAACCGCGGGCGAGGAGCCGACCGGCCGCCGAGGCCACCGAGGCGCCGCTCCCGGCCCCCCCCGGGGAAGGGAAAGGGCCGGCCTGGAAGAAAAAGGAAGCTGCCTGTCCAGGACCAGAAAGCCGAGGAGCCGCCATTGCCTCCGGGCCCCTTGGAGAGCTGCTCCTTGGATCTCGGGAGCCAGCGGGAGCGCTGGGTAAAGTTTCAGAAGCGTCAGAGCCTGACTTGCGAGGGTGCAGCCAAACTCCTCCTGGACACCTTGTAAGTATGGCCCAGGCGCCTTCCATCCTTCCTTCCCATCAGACCGGGCCACCGGGAGCAGCTGGCCTGCTTCCCCCGTCCCCCCTCCCCCACTTCCCACCTCCCCGTGGTGCATGCAGCCTTTCTGTGGATGTGTTGCATCCTTGGCCTGCTGGAAGACGGGTTCTGGGACAATATTGGGTGCCCAGGAACGTAGATCCCAGAGAGCAAGAGTTGGATTTCTTCTGGGAGAATCACGGTATTCTCAGAAGGGCTCACAGGGACGCGGAACCTGGTTTCATTCAGCCTGATCGGGTCAGAAGTGCCCGCGCTGTCTTCTAAGAGGCCTTCTTTGTATTGCTGGAGAGGGAGGGTTCTTTGATCTTTAAAACAAAGACACATGCTACGTTTGCTGCCTACAGCTTGTTGCATCGTTCCTTGAGGACAGATCACACTTTGTCAGCTCAGTGTCCTCTTGAGCTCGTTGACCCAGCCAGGCAGCCAGGCTCCGTGTCCTGTTATTAGTTTTCCTTTCATAAAAGTAGGGCCTGTCCTTCCATTTCCATTTGCAGTGGGCTCCTGCTTTCCATGAGCATTCATACAGTTTGTGTGGCAATATGTGAGTGAGGCCAGTGTCCTCACCTCCCCCCTTACTTCCAACCCATTTTTACTTGGCTGTGGAAGTTACCATCAAAGGCAGACACCTGTGTTTAGGGTCTTTTGGCCACCAGAAAGATTCTACATAAGCAACTCAAGAACATGTGTATTTGATGTCTCCAATTTAAGCTGCACAGAGTCAAACAAAACCATATGTTTCCATATGATAGGAAATAGGAGAAAACATTTCGGATGCATTCTAATGGGCTGGTTCAGTCCATTGGAGTTGGTGTGGTGCAGACCTGGCCTCTGGAATTTGTTGAGAGTCTTCAAAGGAGAAAGCCCAAGTTTCTTTAGAATATGGAACCATTGAATATCACAGCTAGAAAGGACCTTAGAGGTCATCTAAGGGGCCCAGCCCCTTCATTGTTCTGAGAGGGGGGAGAGACTCTTGGAGGGGTTCAGTGGCAGATGGTGCTTTGTGTAGGGATAAATGCTGTCAGGACAATTGATGAAGAGGCAGGCAGGCTGAAAGTCCAAGATGGCTAAGACTCAACGTTCAAGACCTGGGCCCTTTGATTTGCCTGTGACATAGGGAGGAGTCATTTAGAGTTGGAGCGACTAAGACCTCACTCTGGTTTTCTTGTGTTCTTTCATGTGCCTGTTTAGACTGTGGAGGATCCATTCTAGCAGATTCAAGCAGAGCATTTATTGAGCGAGTACTGTGTGCCAGTCACTGGGCTAACCAGTGGGGGCAGGGGGAATGTTGTAAATACAAGCAAATAAGATAGTCCTTGCCCTTAAGAAGCATGCATTCCAATGGGGGAAGACAAGGGGAGCTGGAAAGGAGAAGAAGGCAAAGGGAGAAGGTATAGGGTGGCCAGTGAAGAGGTAAAGTCACACAGGCACCTAAAGACCCTATGAGGAATTAGTACATTGGTCTAGGTGGAACTCAAAAGGACTTTGAAGATAGGATCCTATCTGTGGCTTCTTTGAAGGGGGAAGAGAATTGGAAGGTAATTATGCCAAGGGGAAGGTAACTGGGGGCCCCCCAAGCTTTGGAAATGCCTTACCTTCTCATATCTGCACTTCAGAGTACTCCTAAGTGGGCCCAGTCAACTTCTTTTGCCTCCTGTACCTCAAACAGGAGCAATAATCACTTTGGCCTAGCTGGTGAGGTGAGCACTTTAACAGAAAGTCTTTGATGGGATGCAGAGAATAATGGTGGATGGCCTTTCCTTGGACTCTCTTAATGGATTCCTAGCATTTTAAAGCTAGGAGGGGACTCAGAGATCATGGAGTCCAACCCCCTTATTTTATGGAGGAGGAAATGGAAGCCAAGAAATTCAAACCTCTGTCTAGCCTCCTCTAGCCTGGTAGAAGAGCCTGGCCTAGAACCCAGTTTTCTTGATTAGAACCCAGTGTTCTTTCTACTAGCATACCATGAAGCTAGTGGTATCTAGTTTTAATAAATAGAATGGCTGTGACATAGGATTCTTTACAATTCAGATTCCTATCTAAAGGGTCTAGGACTTACTGTCAGAACCCTCCTTATGAGATAAGACCATCTCCTATAACACCTATGACATCTATGACGCCATCCTTTGGTGTGGACATTTGGAGGAGGGGTCTAGTGAACTGAAAGCCCCAAACCCATTGACAGAAAAGGCTTGAGTGGGGCCTTCTGTCTTTATAAGGAAAACAGATGTTAACCCCTGGGTCTCTGAAGGGTTGTAGTCTAAACAGCAGTGAAAGTCCTCAGTTCCTGTCTAATAATTAGCTTGGGGAAAGGATTCTGCGTAAAGTGCTTAGTCCCCTCTAGCTCTGTGTCATGACCCTTTTCTGGGTTTTCTTTTTCCTATTGGCTTATTCCTCTATGTCCCTCACACATGATTGCCAGAATTCACCCTACCTCTGTGTGCGTGTGTGTGAACTTCTTCTCATTTAACAGGCCAAGGTCATTTCTTCCCCAAACACTAAGCTGACAGATTTGGGCCATGCATTGCTTTTTCATTTCCTCTCTGGTAAAACCTTTTAACACATTCCTAGCTCATAAAAAAATTCCGTTAATATGTTCATGCACTAATCAACATTTGAGTGTCTGATGTGAAACCTGAGTCACATGAGTTGTTCCAGCTGCACATGGAGGCTACATCCATTTGTCACGGGCAAATCTGGAGGGCTGCTGATCTGAGAAGCCTCCAGCCTGGTGCTTTCACTGGGGGGCGGCCCTGCCTGCCTCTTTATCCTTCTTCCTCTTGTTATTCTGATCATTATCGTTATTGTTCCTAATAAGCATAGGGCATCATCACAAAGCAGCATCTGCTGCCAGTAGTCATGCCGATAATTAATAGAGGAACTGGTCTGTCCAGGCCGTTATCTGAACAGGGAGCGGGACCCTTGAAGAAACAAGTGAAAGAACCACGGCCATAATGGGCAATGCCATTATAATAGAAATGAACTGGGCTCTTGTCAGACCTTTTTTCCAGAATAGGGACAGCCAACCATAAGAGGCTTTTTCTTGTGTCTCCTTCCCAAGGCTGGTGTCCCGCTCGATCCCTTCTGCCCCCACTCCCAGCCTTGCGTTTTTGTTGTGTATACTTTTATGGGGACATTTTGTCTCTGATAGAACGTTAGAGTTTAAGCTTCTTCAGGCCCAGAACTGTTTTGTCTTCTATCCCTAGCACAGTACCTGGCACAAAGTAGGTTCTTAATAAATGCTTGATGACTGAATGAGTGACAAAGACCTGCCCCTCCTCTGTGGGCTGTGCTCTGCCCATTTTGCTCTGCCACAGCAATCTTTCACAGACAGATTTTCCTTGTCTTTTTTTTTGGGGGGGGGCTTGTTTTCTCTCCTACCAGCAGGGGAGATTTTAGTAGCTGAGCTTTAAAGTGCTGTGCTCCCCCCCCCCCTTTTCAGGGGCTAGTTTATTATTTTGTTCTGCCCACATTAAAAGAATGTTGATAGGATTTCAGGCTGTTGGCAGTTCCAAGTCTGCCTTGAATTTTCCTCCTTTCCCAGGAATCCAGAGTCAGTAACATTTCTCTTTTTGCATTTCATGTCTGGGTGCTTTCCCCTGTGGAATTGTAAGCTGCTCCTCAGCTGCCCTTCCCAACCTCCCTAGCCCCTTCCCATTTCTTTTCCTGGGACCCTAAATAAGACAGGTATGATGGTGGAAGAGAGTTTTGTTTAAAAAAAATAAACCAAAAACGTTCAGTAATTTTTGACCATGCTATCTGGGAGAAATCTTGGTGGGAGCCTGGGAAAATGGACTCATGAATAGCTCCTTCCTGAGCATCCTTGTGGCCGTGTGGAAAGAGTGGGGGCAGGGCCATTGTGCTCCGTTACCATGGTGAAGGCACAGCTGGAGGAGAGGGAGGCTGGGAGGAGTCCTGAGCCGCTCTGGTTGGGCTAGAGCCGCTGAAAGACTTGGGGAGAGGAGGCCTCAGATGTTTGGAACTAATTAAGCTGCAATTACTGCTCTCTCCCTGCACCCCTCCCCCAGCCTTTGGCAAGGAAGCAAGATGATAATACTCCTTGTGCAGAAAGGAAGGGCAGGCCCTTGGATTAGATTAGTCTCATTTGGAGGGGTTTTCAGAAAACAACTGCATTTTGTATTCTAAGGGGGACTGGTAACATTTCCAGGGGGTCCAGCAAGCTCCCCCTTCCCCAAAGAAGATAAAAGCAGGAGGCTGATGGCAAATTGAGTTTCATTAACAGAATGCTAAACTTGTATTCAGCAAGGCCCAGGGTTCAAATCCCACCTCTGACGTTTTCTATGCTGTCCGGGGCAAATTGCCCAACCTCTCTGGGCCTCAGGCTACTCTCTAAGGTTGTAAGTTTTCGATGCCTGAGTGGAAGGAGTTCCCACACCTGGAGTTGCAAGACTGACAAAAGCTAGAGTCTTTTATGTATTGACCTAACACTTATGTTATGATGCTATTAGCAAATGGGTCATGGCTCCGGAAGGAACCCCCTAGACTAGCCCATTCATTTTATAGACGAGGAAACAGAAGGCTGGAGAGAGGGAGTCTTGAGTCCAAGATCACACAGGTAATAAATAAGTGACCATCTTGGGATTTAGTCCAGTCCCGTGCTCTTTCCCCTGCAGGTTTGCAGATGAAAAGCATGAGTGAAATGCTGGAAAAGTAGCATATAACAACCCTCCCAGGCTCCCTGTCCCGCCCGTCTGGCAAGGCTCAGTCCCATGTTTGAACTGCAAGGCATTTCCTAGGACACTCCTGTCTCACCCAACCAGCCCCTTCTTTGGTATCCTTCATGTCCTGGAAGAAAGCCCACCTGCTGGCATGTGTGTTCGTTCGTGGCTGTTGGCTTCTTGTCTCTCATGGGGTGCTGGGCCCTTTTGTACTCCAGAAGGGGTGTCAGAGATGGGAACCGGGAGGAAAGCCAATGTCTTTTCTTATGCTGTGTCTGTGACTACTGAGACGCTCACCATCCCATCTGTTTTTTGGCTTTTGCTCTGCCTAGTGAATACCAAGGTCTGGTGAAACACACTGGAGGCTGCCACTGTGGGGCGGTTCGTTTTGAAGTTTGGGCTTCAGCAGATCTGCACGTTTTTGACTGCAAGTGAGTGACTCTTTTCCATTTCTGCTAAGGGGAAGCAGGGAAGTTCACCTTAACGCTGACTCTCCATCTGGGAGCCGTCAACCTAAGCATTGCAAAGGGACAGGACTGACCTTGTGATTTCACTGGCATAGGGAAGGAACTCCCAGGGGAGAACAATCCCTCTAGCAATGCAGGTCATCAACTCCTCTTCGACTAATAGTCTTAGATGCCTAAAACCCTAACAAGTTAAGAGACCTGCCCAGGGTCACACAGCTTTGACGTGTGAAAGGCAGAACTTGTACCCAGGTCTCCATGGCTTCAAGCCAGCCTTCCTCTACTCGACCACACTGCCTTTTGTGTTTTAGGAAGGGGAGGGGAAATGAAAATGCAGAAACACATTTTTTGCCTTTACTGCTTATATATTCTGAAGGATTATATATATTCTGCTTCAGTACAATAAAAAATTCCTACATCCCCAACTGTCCACATGGGATACAGCATGAGTTTTCACCTGTTGCACATTTGTGTCTCTTATTGTGTTGAACTTCATTGTGATATGAGCATCATTTTGTTGATGACACAGCTTTTCTCGAATTTTATGGTTGTCCTGGCTTAGAGCATCTGGAGCAGGGCCCTCCAGATCGTTGAGTCTGGCTGTGACTCGTCCAAGCTCACACAGAAGATTCTGGAGTCTGTCCCCGGTCCTCAGGCTTCAAATTCAGTGCTTCTCCCACTAGATTAGGGCTTCTTCACCTCCTTTTTTGTGTATCCTGGGTCCCTTTGGTGAGCTAGTGAGGCCTAGGGACCCTGTGTCAGAATAATGTTCTTCAATGTACAGAATATAATACATAGGATTACAAAGAAAATAAATTATGTCGAATTATAGTTATCAAAGGCAGCTAAGTGGCGCTGTGGGTAGTGTTAGGCCTGGAGTCACAAAGACCTGAGTTCAAATCCAGCCTCAGACACTTATTGGTCATGTGACCTGGGCAAATCACTTAACTCTGTTTGCCTCAGTTTCCTTATTTGTAAAATAAGCTGGAGAAGGGAGTGGTAAACTACTCCAGTATCTTTACCAAGAAAACCCCAAATGGGGTCATGAAGGATTGGACACGACAGAAAAACAACTGAACAAAAACAACAAATAGTTACCAAAATATTAAAAAAAAGATAATGAAGAAGAAAAAACAAGTTCACGGACCCCAAGTCCACTGTGGGGGTTTTTGTAAAGACAGATTTTCTTCTCTATATTATGAGCCCCATCATGCATGCACACACACACACACACACACACACACAGACACACACACATACACACACACACACACATGAGTACCAGGTCCCTCTGCTTACCAGCCTCTTCTGTGGAATGGGACCCTGGACATATCAGGTTAGGCCTCCTGAAGGGAGGCATCTTTAGCTGGGGATCCCCAGTGCTTAGGATGGTGTGTCACCCTGAAGAGGCGATCAGTAGATGTGCATTGGATTTAATCACATTCAGAGGGGAAGGCTCTCTTGGGCCCTTCGCTGACTTGGTCACTTTTCTCACTTTGCTACAGCTGTAGTATTTGCAAAAAGAAACAGAACCGACATTTCATTGTTCCAGCTTCTCGCTTCAAGCTTCTGAAGGTAAGTCCTGGAGGGGTGTACCCAGGGGAGTGTCTGCTTGGTGGGGGGTGTTGCCCAGGGATGTGTCTGCTGTCCGCACTTTTTTTCAAAGCTTAGTATCTATAGCATAGGGGCAGCTACGTGGTACAGTGGATAGAGTCCTGGGCCTGGAGTCGGCAAGACTCAGCTTCATGAGTTCAAATCTGGCCTCAGACAATTACTAGCTGTGTGACCCTGGGCAAGTCACTTCACCCTGTTTGCCTCAGTTTCCTTATCTGTCAAATGATTGGAGAAGGAAATGGCAAACGGCTCTAGGATCTCTGCCAAGAAAACCCCAAATGGAGTCATGGAGAGTCAGAAGTGACTGAATAACAACAAAGGTTGCTAACACATGCTGGGGGCAAGGCTGCTGGGGGCATGTCAGGAGGGCTGTTCTCTGGGCAGTTTGGACCTCATCCCATTCTTCCTGGGGGTAGCAGGGCGGGAGTCCCTCAGCCTTTGGCTCCCCCTGCTCCATCTTCCCTCTCCCCTCCTGCTTTGTGCTGCCCATGACAGTGCCCTGCGGTGGGTAGGGGTGAGGGCACAGACCCTACCAAGTGAAGGGAGCAGAACCAGGAGAACAGTTTCTGCAATGACGACAACAACGTCAAGGGAATCAACCTGGAAAAACTTGAGAACTCTAATCATCCCTCTGACTAAAGGTGATTTCAGAGGCCTGAGAACAAAGGCTGCCTCCCACCTGGGCAGAGATGGACTTCTAGGTCCTGGCTGACGTGTTCAGACTTGGCCAGGATTAAGTTGGTTTGGTTTGACCATGTGTATTTGTTACATGGGAAGGATCTACTTGGGAGGTGGAAGGGAGGAGAAGAAAGCAAGTCATTGGAAAGTGAGGTTAGCCAAGTTGATAGGTGTGGGTGGTACCTCAGTTGTTTTAATTTGCATTTTTCTAATCAATTGTGAGCATTTTTCTGTGTGACTATTGATAACTTTGATTTCTTCTTCTGAAAACTGCCTATTTTCACATCCTTTGACCATTTATCAATTTCGGGAATGACTCTTATTTTTATATAAATTTGACTCAATCCCACTATGTTAACAAAGATCAATTAAGGCAGGGGTTCTTCCTCCTTTTTGTATCCTGGATCCCTTTGGCAGACAGTTTAGTGAAGCCTATGGACCCCTTCTCAGAATAATGTTCTTAAATGCGTAAAATAAGACACATAGGATTACAAAGGAAAACAATTATACTGAAATAGTGTAATTGAAATAGTTTAAAAACAAGTTCATAACCCCAGGTTAAGAACTGCTACATTAAGGTGACTCATTGGCATGTCAAGAGATTCTCTCCATTTCTCAGAGCACCAAAAAAAACTAACCTTCAGCCCTTCAAGTAGAAGTGACCTCTAATGGTTATTTAGTCCATCCACCAGCCTCTGGGCAGCTCCATAACCTGAACTTCCAAGCCCAGTACTTATTCCTTGTAGAGATCACCTCTAACAGGTTTCATTCTTCTGTGTCATTCTTCTTCTCTCTCTCCTCATGTCTAATTCTCTGAGTTTTCTGGAATCTCATTATTTTTACACTGCCCCATTTCCACTGAAGAAGTACTATCCTGAAATTATCAGGGAAGAGCGTTGCCTGCTCATTAGAGCAGAGAGATAAGCTGATCAGTGGATTGATTTTCTAGGTCCCACAAGGGGGCAGATGTGGTGACTCAAAATTGATGGGACCTATGTGAGTATCCCATTTTATAAGTAGCAGTAGTGGTTCTGATGGTCCTGGACACCTAGGCTGCATTTCCTTATTTTCAGTAAACAAATATTGTGGAGTGTTTTCTGAGAAACAGCATGGTGGAGAATAGAGGAAAGAACACTGGATTTGAGTCAGATAACCTGGTTTGAATCCTGACCATGCTGTGACCTTGGGTCTCAGATTCTTCATTTGTAGAATGGGAGGACTGGAGGAACAATCTCTAAAGTCCTTTCCAGCTCTAGCATTATCTAATGCTATGATTCCTTGCCTAGGCAGGAGTTTTTCATTTTGCCCCAGAGTACCCAGAGAGGCCCCGAGCCTTCCCCTAAAGAGCTTACAAGATGCATGCATGTGAAATAGGACAACATAGCCCTGATTGTGTGCCTCTACTGCTCATAATTCTCCAGTGACTCCCCATTGCCTCCTGAATGGAGTCTAGGCTCCTCAGCTTGCTATCCAAGGCCCTGTGCCATTTCACATACAATGCATCATTCTTAAAGGACGCCTCTCCCCATTCTGGGTCTGCCTGGAACAGTGAAGCAAATGTCCCTGAACAAAATGGAAGAAGCCAAGGACTGAAAACAAAGTGGACAACCCTCAATTGAGTAATCTCTGAAAGACACTCAACTATATAGAAATAGGATGATACGTTACTTGTGTGATCTGTGAGTACTCAAGTAATGACAAATACGAGGAAAGAGAGAAGGGAAGGGAGGGTTAGTATGAACACAACAAGGCAGAATGAAATAAGGAGGACCAGAAAAACAACAGGGACCCTGGCTACAGCAGTGTCAATAAAAAGATGTTAGAGGAAGTTGAATTCTGAGTGATTTAAAAAACCAGGGACAGTCCTGGAGGATGATAATGAAACATCCTGCACTACTCAAAGGAGAGAGGCCAGGGCTTGAGGGCAAGGACACTGTTGTCTTTATGGTCAGATGCACTCTGCGTATGACATACTTTTGTTTAGTCGTTTTTCATACGATTTTCATACACCAGTTCCCACCCCTGGTCTGGGTTTTTTTCATAAAGGCCTCTGATGTAAGGAGAGAAAGGAAGCAATCAATGCAATGTATTTTTTTTTTCCCATTTGGAGAAGGATATTCAGTGCTTTAAAAAAATGTAGAAAAGGGATCTCAGAAAGCAAAGGTGTGGGGGGAACTATACAGGAGGCTGAAGAGTTGGAAGGATGTCATACACAGGAGGAAGAGAAGAGGGGCCAATATACATTTGGAATTAAAAACAGATTTGAGATTCTTCCTGAAAAAGAGGTAGCTGGGTGCTCTGAGGAAAAAGTGTGCTTTGAAGAATAGGAAACTAAATCCACAGCTGATGCCACTGGGTGAGGGATCCTCTGGTCAAGGTCAGAGAAAGAAGAGATGGAGCAGAGGGGTGGTAGTAACTGAGAACATCTTGCTTTGTTGTGTTCCTGGGGCACGTTTGCAGAGAACCTCCCCAAACTGGTCAGCTCACTCCTGGTGATTCCTGTGGGCACCAATGACACTTCCTGAAGGAACCCAGAAAGCGCTGTCAGAGATGACAGTCTTGGGCAAGAAGCTGGTGGCAAAGGGCGTGTTAGGGTCAACACATCCAAAAGAGTAAAGCAGATTTAGGAAATGGAAATGTTTGAGAAGATGGTGTCTGAGCATTAAATGTAGGTTTTAAAAGAATAATGCCAGGCTCCCGACCAGGGATGAAGAGGACCAGACAAGGGCTAGCGCAGCCATGTCCTTGGGGTCTTGACAATCTAGTCAAAAGGGCTTTAATTTGAAGAGGATGAAAGAGGAAGAAAAATGTGTTTATTCACCAAGCTAGATACCGCGGAGAGCCGCTACAGCATAGGAGGAAGACTGGCAGTGGAGACATTCAGAATTTCACAGATGATGAGATCCAAAAAAAAGGAGTCAGTAGTAAAAGTCGTGGGCTCCAAAGTCTGTCACAAATGCACAAAATTAGGCAACAAACCAGATGAAGTAGTAGTCCAACGTAGGGAAGTAGATTTGACCTCATAGGTATCACTGCAAGTTAGTAGGATGAGACCCATGACTGGACCATAGTTCTGAATATTCTTTATTTAAAACAAACAAGATAGATAAGTATCATCAGGGCTGAGGTAGCATTGTATATTAGAAAGTGTATTCACGTGAGGAAATCCAGTAACAAGAGGGTTAGATGTGAGGAGCATTTGGGAAAAGATCAATGGTGGCTGGGATAGAAATAAGGTCACATCTCCCCTTGGAGGAGAAGTGACCCCTCTCTCCTAGAGTTTATGATATAGGAGAGGAATGAATGAAAAAAGCATTTATTAAACTCCTGATATGTGCAAAACACTATGCTAAGTACTAGGGGTAGAAATATAAATCTAGGTATTTCTGCCTCCAAGAGTCCATGTTCTGATTGAGAGAGACAGCACCTATACCCTTGAGGGTTCAGATGCAGGACAGATCGAACTGTCCCGAAGTCCTGAGGGTTCATTGGCAACTTGGATGGCAGTGCCCACAGGTCTGGAAAGTGGAGCAGCAGGGCAGATGGTGAGGCCTGAAGGATCTTTGGCAGGTCAAATGGTAAAGCCGTGTTTGCCTCCACCAGAAAAAGCCAGGAATAGTTTCTCCTTTACCTTAGATCTGGAGAGAGTTCAGTGGAAGGCGAGGTAGGGTTCCATGGACTAAAGTTTTCCCATGAAAGTCAGCCCAGGAGCAATGGAAAACTATTGGGAATGAAATTCTGAAACCACATGGGATTAAAAATTAAAAATTAAACAAAAAAACACTGGCTGAGAAAGTCAGAGCCCAAAAGATCCTTGGACCATGGATTTGAAGCTAGAAGGAACCTTAGAGGGCATCTAATCCAGGGCCTGGCACACAGTAAGCATTTAATAAGTGCTCTCTGTAAGTAATACAAACCCTTCATTTTACAAGTAAGGAGACTCATGGTCACACATCTATTAAATGGCAGAGCTGGGGTGAAAACCCATGTCCTCTGGTGATGATCCAGTGTATGGGTGGGTATGTGTGTGAGTGTCTATGTGAGTGTGAGTGTGGGTGTGGGTATGAGTGTGTGTTAGTGTATCTGTGTGATGTGAGTAGTATGTGCATGTATGGTGTGTGTGTGTGTGTGTGTGTGTGTGTGTGTGTGTGTGTGTGTATGTGTCTGGGTTTGTGAGGGTATGAGTATGTGTGTGAGGGTGAGGTAAGTGTTTGTGTGGGTGTGTTTGGGTTTCTGCACCATATGATCTCTTGACAGGCTTTACTTGGTTTGAACCAAGTAAGATGAAGTCTAAAACTCTAAGTGTAAAATCTTTAACTTGGGCTAAAAACATTTACTTTGAAAGTACAAGATTGGGGAGAAATAGTGAGCCAACACTCTGAAAAGACCTGGAAGAAGACTGTTGTACTGTAAGAAACATTGAAGGGGATGGTTTCAGAGAAACCTGGGAAGACTTATACGAACTGATGCAGAGAGAAGGGAGCAGAACCAGGAGAACAACATATATAGTAACAATAACATTGTAAAGACTTTGGAAGACTTGTATGAACTGATTCAGAGAGAAGTGAGTAGTATCAAGAAAACAATTTATACTAGAACAAGAACATTGTAAAAATGAACAATTTTGAAAGATTTGAGATCTCATCAGTGCAATGGCCAACCATGATTCCAGAGGACCAATGATGATCCATGCTACCTACCTCCTAACAGGGAGAAAGAATAAGACAGATTTTTGGACAGAACCAATATTGGGATTCACTTTGCTTATCCATTTGTATTTTTAACAAGGATTTTGTTTTTCTTTTTCCTGTGACAGGGTCGGGGAGAGGAGGAGGAAGGGAAAAGAAATGCTTTTTGAAAAAAATGTTATTTGAAAATTAAAAAGAAAAGGTCTGGGGGTTATAGTGGGCCACAACCTCAGTGAGGCAACAGTCCCCATAGCTAATGCTTGGATTGCATTAAGAGAAGCATTGCTTCCAGGATTAAGGAGTGATATTCTGCTGTACCTTGTCCTGGTCAGATCCTACCTGGAGTGGGGTGTTCAATTCTAGGCACCACGTTTTAGGAAGGAAATTAATAAGTAGTAGAGCATTTGCAAGAAGACGGCCAAGATGGTGAAGGGTCTTGGGTCTATGTCTTTTGAGGATTAAGTGAGGTAAGTGGGGATGTTGAGCCTAGAGAAGTGACTCAGTGAGGCTTGACTGATGGTTGTCTTTAGGTATTTGAAGGGATGGCACATGGAAGAAGGAATGGACATGTTCTCTTTGGGCCAAGAGGGCAAAACTGAGAGCAGTGGGAGGAAGTGCAAAGAGGTCAATTTAAGCTTCATAAGAAGAGCTCCTTACCTACTTAACCCCAAGGGCAATGGGCTGTCTTGACAGAAAGCAGGCTCCAGCTCATTGGTGGTGGCCAACAGAAGCTGGGTCACCACTGTTGGGGATGTTGTATAGGGCTTCTTTTTGGATCTGGGTTGAACTTGATGCCCCCTGATGTCTTTCCCAAGTCAGATTCTTCACTAGCTTTCTAGCCTTTTCTCTTTATTCTGGGACCAAACTGGACTGTTTGCCTGAACGTTCCTACCTCTGGCCTTTGCTTGCCCTGTTTCTCTGTTCTTGGGGTACCCTGTCCCCATCCCCACCTGTTGCAGATTTGCCCCATTCTTAAGACCCAGCTCAGATGTCACTTCACTATGAAGCCATCTCTAAACATCCTCTATCCCCTTCCCTCCCCATGCTGGGATTGATCTTTCCTTCCTTGGACCTCCATATCACAGCATTCACTCTATTTTTAGGCATTTATTTTTAAAACTTTTTTATTTTATAAAGTCAGCATCCATCAACAGACAAAAAATGAAACAACAAATAAAATCTTATGTAAAACCATGAACTTCCAACTATGTACAGTTTATTAAAAATACATATACCCTGACAAAACAATACCATTAAAGATTTTATTGGTTTCTTCCAATCTTTAAGTGTATTTATTTTTTGCATTTTTCAAATTTATTTTATGTACTTATGTTTAAGTTTGCGTCACAGTTACTTGTACATGTATAACATCCTGCTACTAAATTGTTAGCTCCATAAGGGCAGGGACCATCGTCTGAAGCATTTTTGCAGTGCGTCCCTAGCATGGAGAAGGCCCTTAGGACATTTTGTTAACAACACATTTTATTGATGCTTTCATACTCATTTCTGAAAACACGTCCCTTTCCTCCAGTCCAATCCCTGCATTTGTAATGTCCTTACCATTCTGCCCTATTGGTCCCATCTCTCCCCGAGCCCCGAGAAGTGGCCTGTTTCATCATGTGTTTTTCAGGGCTTTCCCTGGCTGGCCTTGCCCCTCCTCTGAGTCTGGGTTCCTTCTGGCGGTCTTCTTCTTCTTCTTCTTCTTCTTCTTCTTCCTCCTCCTCCTCCTCCTCCTCCTCCTCCTCCTAGGCCATGGGGTTAAGTGACTCACCCAGAGTCACACAGCTTGTAAGTGTTAAGTGTCTGAGGCTGGAGTTGAACTCAGGTCCTCCTGACTCCGGGGTTGGTGCTCTATCCGCTGCACCACCTAGCTGCCCCTCTGGTGCTCTTCTTATGGACATTGTCCTTGTGTTGGGTCTTCTTCCTCTCCGCACCAGTTAATTCGTTAATACATGGATGAGTGAATGAAGGAGAAGACACCTTTTGACAAATCAGTGTATCTGTGTGTTTCCACAGGGTGCTGAGAACATAACCACATACACCTTTAACACTCACAAGGCCCAGCACACATTCTGCAAGAGCTGCGGGGTGCAGAGCTTCTACACGCCTCGGTCCAGTGCGGATAGTTATGGTAGGTAAAGGGAATGGGGCTGTGTCTAGAGGAATGCCAGGACCCAAAGAGCAAAGGCATTTTCTGGTAATCAGTAGGCCTGGAACCCATTTTACCAAAAATCCACCAGCTGAATGTGCTCAAGTGAGTTCTGAGCTGGGGAGGACAGTGAGCCCTGCTACCTACTTATAGTCATCTCAGAATCATAGCTGGTCGGGCTGACTAGCAGGGCTGAGCTAGGTCTGAAGCCTAGTCCCAGCCCTTCTGAGCTGTGTGGCCCTGGGCAGGTTACTAAACTTTTCTGACCTAGTTCCTCATTTGTAAAATGGAGGTTACAATGCATGCTTTGTATTCTAGTTATCAGGAAAATGCTTTGTAATGTCCTATAGACACATGAGCTCTTATAAATGGGGTAGAACTATGGCATGGATTATCCAGGGAAAAGCTGGGCCAGCTTGGCACTGGAGAAAGGGCACTAAATTAGACCCGGAGACCGAGATTCTAGCCATTGCTTCCTAGCAGTGATCATGGGCATTTGTCAACTCTCCAAACCTCGATTTGCTCATCTGTAAAATGGGGGTAATAATACTTACCCAGTCTTGCCCACCTTGGAGAGTTGTCATAAGGATCAACCAGGCTCATGGATGGAGCCCTTGGTAAAGTGTAAGGGAATGGTTATAATGACAGTGGGAAAAGGGTAGGGGGAGGAGAGGAAGTAATGCCTCTCAGCCATTAGCTTGAGGCACACTGTATTAAAGACTTAAGCTAAGAATGCAGAGCATTGCTGGATGGGAAATAGGACCGGCTTTTGCTCCCATAGGATTTTGAGCTGAAGGGATCTCCTCTAGTCCAACCCTGGCATTTTACAGAGCCCAGGTCACTTTGGCTTATGGAGTCAGAGCTAGAGGGGGGACCTTAGAGGTCATCCAGTCCAATCTTCTCATTTCGCCTATGAGCAAACGATGGCTTAGAATAGATAAGTGATTTGCCCAGTGTCACACAGCTAATAAATGCCTGCTAGTAGTGGAAGGGGAACTTAGGGTGGGGATTTAAACCCAGATCATTCTGACCACATGTCCCATGCTCTGCTTGCTGTATCCTGCCTCCTCTTGGACTTGTCCAAGGTCACACACAAAGGGAGCAGCAAAGCCAGATTTGGATCCAGGTCTCCTATGTCTAAATGTAGTTCTCATTCTTCTGCACCAAACTGCCTTCTCTTCATTTTGTTATAGAAATAGAAAGTGAAAGCCATTTACTCTCTCTCTCTCTCTCTCTCTCTCTCTCTCTCTCTCTCTCTCTCTCTCTCTCTCTTCTCGGTAGTTAATAATTGATCCTGGTTCTGAAAGTCGTTCAGGTTTGATCTGTTCAGGCCACAGAGGCGGTACCAGTGGTGACATTCTTTAGATGTGATAGCTGCTAATGGGGGGAATTGTTCATAGAAGGAGGTCAGATTGTTGCCCACTCTGGATAGGGAAAGAATTCCTTTCTACTCACCAGCAGGTCACCTGAAGTCCCAACTTCTGGATCTTGAGGGGAGTATCAGGGGGGTAGTGACAACTATCCCCAAACTAGCTGTACCTGGTACATCTTCCCAGTGGGTTTTATGTCTCTAGTTACATCTCTGCTAAGACAGACCCCTTGTGCTAACAAGCTGTCGCCTACAGAAGCTTGTGAGATGGGGAGGTCAGGGTCAGGCAGCCCTGCTGGAGTTGAAAACTCTGAAACAGGGGTCTGGAGAAGGAGATGGCCAACCGCTCTGGTATCTTTGCCGAGAAAACTCGGAATGGAATCACAAAGAGTCAGACACAAGTAAAACCGCCAAGCAACAACAGAATGGGGGGCAGGATAACTCGTTTCTAGACTTGGTCCTTAACTGGCTGGGTGATGTTGGGGCAGTCACTGACTGGAGCTGTCCCAGGTCCCTGTATGTGTTCCCGGCATCTACACCTAGACGGAAAGTGTCAAAGTTGACGAATGGGCTCTACAGCGTGCTACCCAGGATGCAGCAGAGGGTGGGATCTCTCTCTCTGCAGAGACCTGCCATCTCCCATGTAATGTCTCCCATTGTGCTCCTTCTCCAGGAATCGCTCCCCACTGCCTGGATGAAGGCAGCGTGCGCAGCATTGTCATTGAAGAGTTCAACGGGAACGAGTGGGAGAAGGCGATAAAGGAGCAAAAGACTATTCAGAGCAAGTCCAAAGAGTGACCCCTCCTCCCTCTGCCTCAGCCCGGCCTGGCCCATGACAATGAGGCACCTTGGGACAAGGCAGCTTGGCCCAACCAAGGAGCCTGTGATGACGTTTCTGGGAGCCCAAGGGTTGTCTCCAGTTATGTCTGAAGCAGGACAAATTAAAGCAACTCACTTTTCATACCAAGAGGCAGCCTGAGACAGCTGGTCCTAGAGGCTAGTGTTCTTTCTTGGACCAAGCAGCCCATGCCTGACTCCTTGGGCTGCGTGGCACCCCCCCTCAGCCCAATCTGTGGTCCAGATCATTTCAATTCCCTACCTTCCCTCCCAACTTTCATGTGAGCTTTTAGGGACATGAGCCTCCTTTGGTTTTTATTAAAGATAATTATTACTGTGGTTCCTCATTTCCTTTGCTTCAGAAATTCAATCAGCAGCAGAGATTACTGATCACCTATTCTGTGCAGAGCCTTGTTCGAGGTGGGCAGGGGAAGGCTTTCCTGGAGGAGGCGGGATTTGAGCTGAGCCTGGGATGATTGGCAGGGTTTGGAGTCATAGAGAAGAGGGAGGGTCATATTTGAGGCAGAGGTGTTGTTAGGGGAGAAATATCTCCGCTTTGAGTTCATGTGCTAAGTTATTACTGCCAAAAATAAATCTACCACAATGCAGAGATTATAGAGGCAAAAACCTAGGTTTTAGTATGCTTACGTACAGGTTCCGGGGGTAGAAAAATAACCTCTGAATGAAGATTGAGTTTCTAACAAGGCTTCTCATAGACAAAATTAGACCAGAGAGACAGAGATCTAATGAATTTACATACTGTGGTCTTGTACATCCTCTTAGGCAATAAAAGTTATTAAAAAAAAGGGCACATTTGTAATCCCATGCAGCCTTCAATATCATTAAAGTTGAACAAAGTTGCGTTATGATCATCTCATACATCCTCTAAAGAAATAAGCTTAGTTAAACAGACTATAGGTAAACTAAGTCAGACTACAGATTAAACTACATTTAGAGGGTTCACAGTGGGCTGATGGGGGAAAAGGGATCTATCTACACATGGCCAAGATAACCAAGGAGTCATGGACAGTTGGGTCTTCTTCGATACCTTCTATCACTTTGGCTTCTACCTCAGCAATGCCCATCTTCTCTTAACACTATAATTCTGCGAGGCAGGTTTTGGTCAGGTGAGGTGAATATTAGAGGCCAGGCTTTCAGTCAGTCAAAAGTTTGCAGGGGGAATGGCTCTGAGCCCCAAATAATAAAAATTATTAAAACAAAACCAAAGATGAAAAACCATAATCCTACAGCAGAAGGACCATGGTATGTATCTTCAGAGGACAGTTACAGAGATCAATTTAACAAATAAAGGGCACAAATTAGGAGGTTAATGTCAGTTAGGAGCAGTTAGTCATAGGCAGAGCCAGACTGTGGAAGGCCTCAATTGTCAAGGCACTGGACATCACTGAGAAGCACTACGTAGATAAGCCATTGTTCTTACTGAAAGTTTTGAACAGTTGAGTCAGGCCTAGACATTTGCAGTGTGAGTGAATGAATGAAAGAAAAAGCATTTGTTAAGCGCATACTGTGTGTGAAGCACTGTGTAGAAAAGCAAGGCAGCCCCCCTCCCTTAGGGAGCTCATAGTCTAATGGGGAGATAATGCACAGGGAAGACTTCAGCTGCAAGTCAGATGGAAAGGTCCCATTTTGCTGGCAGCAGCAAAGCACAGGGTCACTCGTCTTCTTTAGTATAATTTCCACTGATAATATATCAGTTTATGACATGGAACTGTTTGATAAGGCCAAGGACTTTGGGGGCACAAGCTTACTCTGGGTCCTCAGATCTGCTGACAAGCCGGATCTCCACGAGGGCTTCTTCCTGGGATGATGGTGGCCAAGGCTTTGCTTATGAGCTTGCTTACTTGTCGGTAGTGGTGGTGGTGGTGATAGAAGGTGGGCTCCTTCTCTACAGGAGAGATTGCTGCCCTCAGTGATGGCTGTGGGGCTTGGGCTGGAGACAGAACCAGTGATCTGGAGGACAAGGCTCTTAGATTCAGTGTCCTGAGCTATCTCCATCGAGGTCAGAAGGGAGGTGCTAGTTAAGGTAGTAGTGATGGCTTGATTTGCCAGCCACATGCCTCTTCCTGTCTCTTCCTCATGATGTCCCTGACTTCAACTCCACCCCACCCTGCTGCCAAATTAATCTTCCTTAAACACCAGTTTTGTCATCAATCAATAAATATTTATTTAAAAACTTGTGCATACACACAGGACCTGACACATAATAGGCATTAAATGAATATTTGCTGATTGATTATTGATGAAATCATGGTATGAAGATGAATCGATAGTTTGGTGCAAATGGAGGCCAGAGGTGAGGAGGCCCAATAGCAGATCTTTCTAGAGATCTGCCTTCCTTCCACGTGGACCAAACTAACGGGATTGAAACATGAACACACTGAGATCCGTTTCTGATGTGAAGTCATTTGACAGTGCCAAGGACTTTGGTTGTGAGCACTTTCTTTTAGAGGCCTTCGGGGCCTGCTGCTGCCAAGGAGGCAGGTCCTACTATACTTGCAGAATAGTTGCCAGGTTGCATCTCCACGAAGATTGATTCGAAGGGTGAGGCCTCTGGAGGTGGGCCGTGGTCTGCGGCTTAGCGGCTGCCTGTTGGACTCAGGTCTTGGGTTGTCTCCAGTGGGGTTAGGGGGACATGGTGGTGGTGGTCTGACTCTCCTGACACAGGCCTCCTCCTGGCTTTCATTCAGGGTGCTTTGCAGTTCCAGCTAGCCTGGCTTGCCTGCTGTGTGGGTGGCAGTTGGTGGGGATGTCCAGTCCCTTCTGTACAAGATTGCTTCTGTAAGTTTCAGAGACCTGCATTGGCAGAGGAAGGAAGTTCCTCATGGAAGCTTCCCAGATATGAAATCACAGCTAAAGAAGCTAAAGAAAGGGGCAACTAGGTGGCGCAGTGGATAGAGCACTGGCCCTGGATTCAGGAGGACCTGAGTTCAAATGTGGCCTCAGACACATAATACTTACTAGCTGTGTGATCCTGGGCAAGTCACTTAACCCCATTTCCTAACCCACCCCCCCAAAAAAAGAAGCTAAAGAAGACCTACTATCCCATCATCAAAATAATAATAATAATTAATAATAATAATAATAATGAGAACAAAAACAAAACTACCATTTATTTTGAAGTCCCAAGTATGGAAACAAGGGTTGAGGTGGAGTGAGACTCTGTTCCAGTTACTGAACTTACTGCAGAAAGCATCAACCATCTGAGCTACCCTGGTGACAGAGTAGGATGCCATGGACCTCAGAGACAGAATCTGCTGAGTGATGGCGACAGAGGTGGGGAAGCAAGGATGCATCAGTGCCTCCTCTTGGTCCATTGTATAAAAGGGGAGCTAGGATTGTACCTCACAGCAAGAATGAAGGAGCCACGTGCCTAGAGAGGGCGGCCAGGGAGGGGATGTTTGTCAGAGGGCCAGTTTTCCATGAGGAGTAGATCATAACAATAGAGACCGAGGATGAAGAGGGGGAAGGGGAATGTGTACGTAGGGAGAGTGCTTTCATAGTGTAATTTCTTAGACCATAATAATGGTCAGTGACATAGTTCACTATGAAAGTGAATAAGCATTATTAAGCATTTACTGTGTGCTAGGCATTATGCTGAAACTTTTCAAATACGATCTCATTTGATCTTCACAACAACACTGAGAGATAGGTGCTATTATTATCCTCATTTTGCAGTTGAGTAAACTGAGGTAGAAGTTAGTGACTTGCCTGAGTTCACAGAGTTAGTAAAGTGTCTGAAGTGGGACTTGAACTCAGATCTTCCTGACCCCAGGCCTGGCACTCCATCTATTGTGCCACTAAATTCCTTCCCTTTTCTGGGCCTCAGTTTCCTAAAATAAAGGGTTTGAACTAGAAGATTCCTCCTTGCTCTAAAGTTCTTCCAAGTTTCTTTCTTCTTGCTAAAATGAAACCTTCCCTTGTAACAAAGGTAAATAGTATACTAATAGAGTGACAATGTATACAAAGATTCTGTCCTAGGAGGTTCGACTTCTCTCTGAGAAGAAAAGGGAGTTATGTTTCATTATCTGTTCTCTTGGTCTATTATTGGGTTTTTAGTTACTTAGAGTTTACAGGTCACACATCTAAACCTGGAAGGAACCTAGACCAACCCTTTCACTTTACAGATGAGTAAACTGAGGCTTAAGGAGTGTCAATAACTTACCCAAGGTCATGCAACTACTAAGTCTCGGAGTAGAGAGCTTCCACAGAGACTTCCTGGGCCAGTATAATTGTGAAGTACTTAGTATAGGGACCTAGCACATAGTACGCACTTAATAAATGCTTGTTCCACCGGGTCATTGGTGAGATACTTTTTTTTAAATTTTATTTTATTTTATGAATAACAAACACACCCACACAAAGAACATTTCCACATACAAGGCAGAACAGCAAATTGTATCTGAAACTGTTACTATTACATATGGCTTCTCTAAAAAAGCATATAATAGCTTTCCTGTTTTTCTGTGTATCCTACTAAGCTTACTTCTGTTCTTTTTGATACCTTTTTTTTAAAAAATGCTTCAGTGATCCTTTTTTCTTTTCTTTCCCTTTCTTTCCTTTTTCGGCATTATTCTCCCCATCCCCAAATCTTCTCAAATTGGAGGAAAAAAAAAGGAGGGGGAAAGCCTTATAACAAATAAGTATATTAAGGTAAAAGAAGTCTACACTTTTGCCACATCTGAAAATGTATGTATTACTCTGCACCTTGGATCTAATACTACTTTGTCAAAAGATGGGTAGCACCTTTCATTCCCGGTCCTCTGCAGTCCTGGCCACAGCACTGATTAGAATTCTTAAGTCTTTGGAATTTGTCTGTCTTTACAACATTGCTGTTGCATAAATTGTTCTCCTGGTTCTGCTCAATTCACTCTGCATCAGTTCACGTAAGCCTTTCCAGGTTTCTCTGAATCTATCCTTTTTGTAATTTCATAGACCATAATAACGGGCAGCGAGGTGGTGCAGTGGATAGACTACAAGGGCTAGAGAAGACTCATCTTCCTGAGGTCAAATCTGGCCTCAGACACTTACTAGCTGTGTGATCCTGAGCAAGTCACTTCATCCTGTTTGCCTGTTTCCTCATCTGTCAAATGAGCTAGAGAAGGAAATGGCAAAACACTCTAGGATCTTTGTCAAGAAAACTCCAAATGGGGTCACAAACAGTTGGATATGACTGAAAACCAACTGAACAACAATAGACCACAATAATATTCCATTCACATACCAGTTTATTCAGCCATTCTCTAATCAGTGGGTATCTACTTCGTTTTCATTTCTTTCTTGCTTGCTTTTTTAGGCAATTGGGGTTAAGTGACTTGCCCAGGGTCCC